AATATCACCCCCGTGATACCAAAGATCGCGGTCGTGATCTCATAAATGAGGTAGCGATCTTGAAACTTGAATACGATGTCAAACTGCAAAATTTCGAGCGATTCTGCATCGTTCCAGGCTGGTCACGTCCAGGTGAAGACCACGACCATCGGGTAAATCCCTCGAGGTCGTAATCTGCATCAAAACACTATAAATATCCTCTTTTATGCAGTTGACAAAGGAGATCTTTTAGAGGGAGAAACACCTTAGGAGTGCTTAGAGGAAAATCCAATCCACCCAAGGAGCAAGGAGGTGCAATCCAAGGAGAAAAAGTTTCCACCATTCCTCCTCTTCTTAGTTTGTATTTTCTCCCTTTATGACTTCAATCCCTATGATTGTTTTGTAAAGATGAACCCTAATTTATAGTTTGTTACGGGTTTGTGTATGGATTTGTTTGTTTCAGTGATTATATGCTTCATTTATACTTGATTATGCTTGGCTTGTCTCCCAACTCTTTCCTACTAGCCTACAGCTGAGTCTCAGAACAAGGTGGGAGTTTTAGAGTTAGACTGGTGAGAGCCTTAAGGCTAATTAGAGGTAGATGAATGATTCTTAGGGTTCCTTTTAGTGGATGAGACGACCAAATCTCTGCTAGAGGAATGCTTTCCTGAGAGAATGATAGAGATGATGCAAGCATCATCGATCCCTCGCTTTAGTGTGCATGATAGGTCGAACCTATTGAGAGGAACTAGCGGTTACTCCTTAGTATGTGAGCTTTGACTAAGGTGACAATGGGTCTCTGGGAGCGTACTAGGAGGAGGTAGAGTAATCCTTGAAACCCTCACTTTAGCGAGTTCTGCACCTTAACTTTTGAACCCCAAACTATATCTAGAGGAATTCAATTCTAGGCAACCATCTCATTGATAGCGGTCTCCCAACCAAGTGGTTGATTGTTTTATTTTTAGTTAGGTTAGATTAGAACTTCACCCAACCTTCCGATTTGATTAGAAAGTAGTTTGGAGCGAAGTAATAATAAGCTTAAGGTCCCCTAGGAATACGACATAGCCACATTACTACATCCATAGCTTAGTTATACTTGGCTTTATTAGGAGTGACTAGAGTGTGCTTCGACTTACAAATTGAAAGATCGATCAAACGCATCAGAGGGAAGCTAGACTATAGACCGTCTCCTCTACTATGGTTATCCCTTGCGATCAAGAATAGGGAAGGAGATTGGGAATGATAAATGAAAGAATGAAGTCATCAAGGAGAAGCCGAAGGAAGAAGCTGCCCATAATGCGCCATTGACGACCCATAGTTTGTCGTTGATGCCTAAAACTCTTCAGTCTTTGTCTGTATGTTGCCACCCTCGACTTGTATTGGAAAACTCTGCCTCAGAGTCACAGCTTTAGATGATTCAATAGTCGAGGGAGCATAAAGTGAGCTACGTTGTAGCGTTGAAGAAGAATTGAAAGTCATCGTCTGATCGCCGGTGTTAACCACATGGAAAGTGAAGATCTGGAGGGATGCATTGGAGGGGGCGACTGGAGGGTTAGAGAAGCGGAGGTCTGGGTGCTCTAGACGAAGGAACAAAGGAGGGGAGAGGATCAACATAGAGAATTTTTTTCTATTTTCTTTATGTTTTGTTAATTTTAATTAAAATTTATGACATGTCAATAACATGACATCTATGTGACTGTCACTGTTTGCCACATCAACGAAAGTCAACATCAATTTGACCACCATTTGGTTAACCGTTATCTATAAAGGTCAGCGAGAGCGTTAAGGTACAAAGTCACAAAGAGGACATACGTGACATTTTTGGGATAATTTAGGTGATGTAGTGGTATTAACACAAAATAACAACATAGCGTAATGAATAGCTATTGAAAAATAAAGTAATTATAATTAATGTTATATTTACTTATTGGTATAAGAAGACATAAGTAATTAACTAACTATACTGCTGATGATTGTCACGTTGGTGGATTGCTGGTAATGAAACCGACATGAACACCACCAGTATGATCGATTTACAACCTCTAAGCAAAATGACGTCGTTTCAGTGAATCTAATTAATAAAAATTAATTTCTATTTAGTTTATGAATTTCAAATTTAAAGGTTGATATTATTTGTTGGATTCAAGTACAAACGATTAGATATTGACTTTAAATGTTGTATTTAAATATGAGTATTTATTATTTAATTTGAAATATCGTATCTTATTTAAATATAAATTCAATTATAAGTTCATATATATTTTGGTAAACCATTACAAACCGTACACCTCATCGAACAATTACACTTTGCTAAATCGGAGCAAAGATATAAACTTGTTTGACAACATTGATACAACTACTTATTATTAATATTGTAGCGGCCGTTATTATCTGGACCGACAGTGTAGCAATATCCCTTGCACACCCGTCGATCGCAGCCATGTGGACTCCTACCTCCCATCAACGTACACTTCCAATCAAGATTGTCAACCCACGGGTCGACCCAGATTAACCCGGACCCGTTGCTAAAAACGGGCTACAGCGGCCTAGTGAACAATCAGCCCGGATTCAGTCAAACGCGGACAAACCCGGCGAACCCGGGCGGTTTGACCGAGGGAGAGGGTTAGCGGGCCTCCTTCCTGTGTGGCGCCGTTTCAATTTTGGAGTGTCCTCCCCAGCATAGACCGCCGCCCCAGGTCGCCGGAGTCTTCCTCCCAGCAATCGGCGACCGCGCTAGCCGCAAACGGCCTCCCTTCCTTTGCTCGCCGATCTTCGCAAGAAAGCTAGTCAAGTTGTCACCGAATCTTTGCAAGTCACGTAGTCCCCGGATCTCTAAGTTTTCGCCAACGATCCATCTGGACCTGTGTGATAATCGTGGAGAACATAGGGAGGTTTGGTTAGAATTTGTGGAGAGGCTCGTGACGATGAAAGAAGTTGGGTTGGGGCGGTGTTTTTCTCTATTCTGAGAAGAGGAAGAAGAAAAGGAAAGAGAGGGGAAAAGGGTGAGAGGCAAGAAAGAGAGAGATGGTTTGATGGTCATGAGGGAAAGAATAAAATAAAGAGAGAAATTTTTGGGTGAAATTAAAGGGGGAAATTTGGGTGGGTGGTTCACTTTTTGGAGCTAAATAAATTTCATCAAATTCAAACCCCAAAATTTGTGTCATTTACAGTAATAACCGACACACATCCGCTAAAAAATTGTGTAGTGTTGCATTTTTTCTATGTTGGATTCAGGATAAGTATAATACATTGACTTTTTTTCATATTTCCGGGCTAATCCAGGCTAATCTGAGCTAATCTGAATGATCCATTAACCCTTGACCCACTAGCTCATCCGGGTCTGGGTCGACCCGCGGGTTGACAACTTTGTTTCCAATCGCTCCCCTATCGGCTATTAACCACACATCCCACGCTGATACTGACATGGCTAAACCTAGGGGTGAACAAACACACCCGCAAACCGACACACCCGTCCAACCCGACTCAACCCACCCGTATTTATAGCTAAAACTAAGGTTTTGGGTTGGATGAGGGTTTTATTTTGTACAACCCGCCTCTTTTGGGTTGGATTTGGATTTTGGATTACACAACCCGTAGAATCCGACCCAACCCGTGTTCTAACTATTGATATGAGTTCGTATACAAAAAATATTTATGTCGTATGTAGTCATACTTATGAGAAAATTAAGATATTTCGCCATGTTTTTCTCTCATATTCTCTCTAATCTAATGCATTCTTCGGCTTAAAGTTTAGACATAGATTTAATATAGCTATGATTCACGTAATCCTTTTTCTTGTTTACAATTTTAATAGAATAACATATTATGGATGCGTTCGTTTATAACATTTTTTGCCTATCTCAACAAATATCGTGAAAAAACTAGACATATGTTGAAGTAAATCCTATTTTATTAAAATTTAAATTTTAAACAACATATTTTGAATTTTGATACCTTTCACCTCGGTTTATTCGTTTAAAATTTTAATTAGTTATAAAATATTTTATGGTGTAGAATAATTACATATTTTGTGTTGGGTTGGGTTTTTACTTAAAAATATCGTCAACCCGACTCAACCCAACCCAACCTAATTAGAAACAAACCGTAAAATTTTATTTTTTTTGAGTGGGTTTGGATTTAATATTTTCCAAACCGTAATGCATGGGTCGGATAATTAAAATGACTAAACCTAAACCACCCGACCATTTACACCTCTAGCTAAACCAACATCATACTCAACCTTACTACCGCATAGGATAATTACCCCAACACAATTCTAACAATACACCTTTCTAGGGACACGAAGGTAAAACCACAATTTCCAATTCTCTCTCTTCCCCGGACCGGACCCGGAGCTTTTTTCCTGTCCTCACTGACCACAACAAAAGGCAACGATCTGCCTCCACCGCTCGATCCGACGGCAACGACGTCGTCCTACTCCCGCCCCGACACGTGGTGCTACTAGTAACCGGGCACAGCCAGTGACCCACTGGGCTGGTTAGTGGTTCGGCCGGTCAGGCGGTCAATCAAACAATCCCCCCGCTAGGTACAATCTAGTTATGCTCCTAACAGGGTATTTTGTTAGGAGATACTGACATGGCTGGATGGGCCTCCACGTCGCCAAGCCGCCATCCATCGGTGGAGGAGAAACGCGCTGGCCCGTGTGAGAGATGAGAGCCGATTCCATCGGCTGGGCCAAGCCCACTCCGGCTGGCGGGGCCCGCCGGGCCCACTAATTCAAAAACACGGTCAAAAAAATATCCTAAACCCTAACCCAAATCACTTTCCCCAAATCAGTTTCCCCCCACTCTCTCCCCCCGTTTCTCTCTCCCTTTCCTCTGCCTTTCTTCCTCTCCCGAACGCAGACGTCGCGACCCGCGGTGATTGGAACTCGGCGGCGTCGAATTAGGCGGCAGCAAAGTCTGGCGGCGGCGACGATCTAGGCGGCGGCGGCGACCTTGCAGCGAAGGAGGAGATCTCGGCGGCGCGACCTTGCTGCGAATCGGAGATATCGGCGGCGACGTCTTGCAGCGAAGGCGGAGATCTCGGCGGCGGCGGCGAAGCAGCGAAGTCGGAGATCACGACGGCGGCGACCTTGCACTAACTCGGAGATCTCGGCGGCGACGACTCTGCAGCAAACTCGGCGGCGGCAATCTCGGCGGCATCGATCTTGTCGGCGGCGACGAAGCAGCGATCTCGGCGGCGGCGGTTTGCAGGTGACTCGGGTTCTTGATCAAGTAAGTTTTTAAGCATAGTTTGGTGGATATTAGTTTTCGATTGGACAGCTTTGAGTTAGGGTTGCATGGCTGCGTTCTTCTGTGGATTTTGTTTCTGGGTTTTGTGGAATGGCTTCTGTTTGTGTCGATATTTAGTTCTGTTTGTGTCGATATCAGTTCGGTTTGTGCCGATATTAGTTTTGTTCGTGTCGATATTTGTTCGGTTTGTGTCGATATCAGTTCGGTTTGTGCCGATATTAGTTTTGTTCGTGTCGATATTAGTTCGGTTTCTGCCGATATTAGTTATGTTTCTATTGATATTGGTTTTTTTCGAGCATGATATTAGTTTTCACTTTCCTGGATAGTTGTTTTATTGGATCAGGGTATTTGTCTTTGCAGGTGATTTATCTATGGCAAAGACTAAAACGAGCGGGAAAAGAGCGCCACCGACTTCACCCCCTCCACCACCACCACCGCGACAGCGAGAGGAAGATGAGGAAGAAGAAAATGCTGAATCCGAAGCAGAAGGAGCTGCACAACAAGATGATGAAGTCGAAGCAGAAACAGCTGCACAAGGAGCAGCTCGAGGTCGGAAAAATCGGAGGTATAGATTTCGGACATTATATATTTTATTTTGCTTGGATTGTTTCTTTGTACTATATATCTGGATATTGGTTTTGACAAGCATGATATCAGTTGTTACTTGCCTGGATAGTTGTTTTACATATCTGGATATTTGTTTGACATACAGGGATATTTGTTTGATTTATCTGGATTTTTGTTTGGCATATCTGGATATTTGTTTGATTTATCTGGATATTCGTTTGATTTATATATTTTATTTTGCTTGGATTGTTTCTTTGATATATATATCTGGATATTGGTTTTGACAAGCATGATATCAGTTGTTACTTGCCTGGATAGTTGTTTTAAATATCTGGATATTTATTTGACATATCGGGATATTTGTTTGATTTATCTGGATATTTGTTTGGCATATCTGGATATTTGTTTTGATTTATCTGGATATTCGTTTAATTTATCTAGATATTTGGTTGATATATCTGTATATTTGTTTGTGCATCGATTTATCAATGGCCAGAAATCCGCGAACCACGAAGAGAGCGCGACGTAATCCACCGCCGTTGCGAGAGGAGAATGAGGAAGAAGATGCTGAAGTTGCTGCACAAGGAGCTGCACCAAGAAATAATATTCTAGGCCAAGGCAAGCCGTGGTACAGATTTCGGTGCCATACCAAATCTGTGCTAGATGTTAGACTAACTTTTTCGCGCTAGGTATATAAACCGGTCTCTTTTCTCTCGAGCGCCCTCTCTCTCTTCCTTCCGGTTCTGTAGTTATTTCTTTCCCACAAAAAAATCGGTATTAATACAGTGGAAAGGAAGAAGAAAAAAAAAAAAAAACGCTTCGCTTTATCCAGCTCGCCGTTTCAAGGTCAGTAGCTTGGCTTTGGCTTCCATCTTCTTCTTCTTCTTCTCCATTCCTCCTTTTGATTACATTTGGAAGTTTATCTGGCCTTCCAATGATTTCTTCCTTCCTTCTCCCCTAGTCAATTCATGCTGTCAGTGGAGCGGTTTTGGTCTTTTGATCGATCTCTCTGATAGCTAGGATGAATTTCTTTTTCTCCTAGTCCTTCCCCAGTCAATGAACGATGGGTCAGCTAATTTCCGTCGATCGTTTCAGTTATAGAGCTAGGTTACTGAATTAGGTTTGTCCTGGTCGATTAGAAGTTCTCCTGGGTGCGCCAGTGTTTTTTGTTTTTGGTGTGTGTGTTCTCTTTCTCTTCTTTGTTATTTTTCTATTCGTATGGTGGGTTTTGGATTGAGTTCGAGCAGTCTCTTGTTCTTCTATAATGTGTGTGATTGAGGGGACGGCGAGCTTGAATAGCCTAAACTGGAGAGACTTGTGCGATTTTGCTGCGGGTGTGCTGTGAATTGGGGTTCAAGGGGATTGTTTGTTAGTGTCTTTGTGGTTGAGTTTAGCTGTTTGCAAAGTTAGGGGTTTTGTGGGACTATGTAATCGATTAATTGGGGAAAGTTCAATTTCTCAAAAAGCTAATTTCTTCTTTGTTTTTTTTTTTTTTGGCGTATGTATTCTTCTCGCTGGTGTTGCTATTGTTTAGTTGTCATTTGCTTAGATCTCTTCAATCAACAAATTGTTGAAAGCTCAAACAGATCACGAAAAATTGCTCCTCTTTTGGTCCATAGAAGAGCTTTATAGAAATTGGATTAAAAACCATTGATCAGTAGCCCAATCTTTGCAGTTGGATTCGGATTTTGACTCTCTTTTTGGGTAGTTACGATTCTGATTTTGTTGTGACAAATCTGGGGTTGTGCTTTTTTAGGGGTTTCGTGCGTGTTGTGATATCGAGCTGATTGAACATATTTCAGGCCCTGGCTCTGGAAAGCTACTTAGACTCCAGCCACCAGGGAGGAGTGCCTTCCATGGCACCCTCTCGTGTGGTTGGAGGGTTAGCCCAATCTTCCTCAAGTTCTGGAATTTTCTTTCAGGGGGATGGGCACTCCCAGGCTGTACATAACTCTCACTTAGCCTCATCATTTGGGAACTCATCCAGTTCGATTCCTGGGACTGGGCGTCCCAACCTGGGTCCAGTTTCTGGGGATATGAATAATGCTGTTTTAAACAGTGTCGCAAATTCTGGGCCAAGTGTTGGGGCAAGTTCATTGGTGACTGATGCGAATTCGGCATTCTCTGGAGGAGGCCCTCGTTTGCAGAGAAGTGCCAGCATTAACACAGAGTCGTACATGCGCTTGCCAGCTTCACCTATGTCATTTTCTTCCAATAACGTAAGCATCTCTGGCTCTTCAGTTGTCGATGGTTCTTCGGTGGTGCAGCAAGGAAATCACCAAGAATCTAGTGCACCACAGCACCAGCAAAGTCAGCAGCAGCAACAACATGGGGCTTCAAGTGCTACATCTTTACCCTCATCACAAAATGGGCAAATGTCACTTCCCATGGATGGACGAGTTCCTGGATCTTATTTTCAGGACCCTAATTTATCACAGGTACAAAAGAAGCCCCGGTTAGATATCAAGCAGGAAGATATTCTGCAGCAGCAAGTGTTGCAGCAGATGTTGCAGAGGCAGGACCCCATTCAGATGCAGGCGCGTAACCCACAACTACAATCACTGCTTCAGCAGCAGAGACTGAGGCAGCAACAGCAGATTCTCCAATTTATGCCACCGATGCAGAGAGCCCAATTTCAGCAACAGCAGCAGCTGCAGTTGAGGCAGCAGCAAATGCAGCAACAACAACACCAACAACAGGCCATGCAGCCGACATCTGTTCCCGTTAAGCGTCCCTACGATGGGGGTGTATGTGCTCGACGGATGATGCAGTATCTGTATCATCAGCGACAGAGGCCAGCTGTAAGTATCTGTCTTGCTACATCCCAAATGCATAAGAGTATTCTGATCAATGGTTGTCTCACTCTAGCCTCCTTTATGTTCAAGGGTATACCTTTCAATCTAACCATATATCATTGAGAAAATTCCTTATCTAATTCCTATTGCTTTGCCAGGAGAATACTATTGCATATTGGAGAAAATTTGTAGCAGAGTACTATTCCCCTCGGGCAAAGAAAAGGTGGTGCTTGTCATTATATGATAATGTTGGGCATCATGCACTAGGGGTATTTCCCCAAGCAGCAATGGTTAGTTCTTTTTCCGTTGGAAAATCTATGCTTTCTAGTTTCTATAATGCTTATTTGGCATCTTTTTTATTCCTTCTTATTTGCTTGATCTAGATGAGCAGTGTTATAGTTGTGGGCTTCAATTTATCATTTATCCACCATTTTATTGCTAGGCGGTCTCACCTTCTTTCAGCTGAGTTTTTGTAACAACCTTGAAATTTACAAGGTGGGTTTGTTTCCTATTGGAACTTTCTTAACTTCTTTTTTATGGTATATATATGTAGGAGGCATGGCAGTGTGACATCTGTGGTTCGAAGTCCGGAAGAGGATTTGGTAAGTGGATATGGCATTTTAATCTGGCTTGGATAGGCTCGTTGGAAATTATGGATGTAATTTTTGACCATGTTTAGGACAGAATTCTAGATGACGTCTATTGCAAACTTGAGTTTTCGCCACGATCAAGTCTCATGTCATACAGTAGCATTCATATGGTTTGTTTGGCGCCTCGTAATGATTTAAGCACTATCTGGGATTATTTTTCTTTTGTAGAGGCAACTTTTGAAGTGCTACCTCGACTTAATGAAATAAAGTTTGGTAGTGGCGTCATCGACGAGCTTTTGTTTTTGGACCTGCCTCGTGAATGTAGATTTTCTTCTGGAATAATGATGCTGGAGTATGGTAAAGCAGTCCAGGAGAGTGTATATGAGCAACTTCGTGTTGTTCGTGAGGGCCAGCTTCGTGTTATATTCACCCACGATTTGAAGGTCAACAACAGCAAAGCATAATTTTTTATGTGCTGAATTATCAGTTTTAAATTACAATTGCATTAATATGGTATTTCTTCCGTGAATTTTAGATATTGTCCTGGGAATTTTGTGCACGGCGCCATGAAGAACTGCTTCCTCGTAGGGTGGTAGCTCCTCAGGTATAATTGCTTCTTCAATCTGTGAATTGCAGCCCTGCTTTGAACATATGATGGACTACATGTTTTTCTTCTGCCCCTACCACTAGCCACAACCCGTGGGAACTGGAGTTCTGTTTACTCTTCTAAATATCTGTTGTGCTAAATGTTCATGGTTCATAGGTTGAACTGCTATTAACAGTTCGAAAAGCAAAAGGTTGAATGTTCAGGATAAAGTGCTGGAATCAATCTCACGTGTATCCTGTTCGATACATCCTGGAAAGTGATAGCTTTTGAAACTGGATGAGATTCCAGAAATTTGGTTGACACAAATATATGTTTGATTGAGTTATTTCTATGGTGGAATCAGTTGATCCTCACCATTAACCAAATCAGATGAGAAGTATGGAACAAAAGATGAAGTGAACGGACTGTTGACATGACCTATAAAAGAATTTGAAGGGGGATTGTATAATGTGATAATATGATAAAGTCTGGGAGAAAATTATGGCCGAGTACAATTCTTATTGGGTTGTTCCTTTCATCTCTTATTGGCCTTATCTCGATATTGTTTTGAGGTGGCTCTCCCTGGTGTGTCCTGCTTGGGCTCTCTAAAGTTACTTGCTGTGTTTCTTCTCCAGTCTGGTTTCTGTTTATTTCTTATTTGAAAACAACTTACATCGAGCTCTTCTTCTTCAAACAGGTAAATCAGCTGGTACAGGTTGCACAGAAGTGTCAGAGCACAATTTCTGAAAGTGGAGCTGATGGTGTTTCACAGCAGGATCTCCAAGCAAGTAGCAATATGTAAGTTGACTTTGGCAATCACCCGACTCTTATTATATATTTGGGCCTTTGGCAGTCACCTCAAGCTTGTGCCTCCTTTTTGTTAAATTGTAATAGCAGAGATTAATACCAAGTGACCCAATCTTATTTATTAATTTTCACTAACTTGCATTCTCTTTCTGCTGCACAGGGTCCTGACAGCTGGGCGCCAGCTTGCTAAGAGTTTGGAGTTACAGTCTCTGAATGATTTGGGGTTCTCCAAAAGATATGTTAGATGTTTGCAGGTATATTTCATTGCTTATTAGAATACTGCCGTTTTGTTTTCTCATGTTCGCGACGCCAAGAATCTTACTTTTCTTGCGAATATGATATTATACCTGGTGGCAGATCTCCGAGGTTGTCAATAGCATGAAGGATTTGATTGATTTCTGTCGGGAACAAAAGGCTGGGCCAATTGGTAATTCTTCTTCTTTCTCCCTGTTGCACTTGCCTTGTCCATTCTTTCTCTAGAAATTTGGGGGTAATTCATGAATCCATGAAGTCTTTCAAGATATGCACTCGCTCTGAATAATGTTAGAATTTTGATATGATTATATAGTGCTTTATTGTATTTGCCTGTGTTAACTGAAAATTGATTACTTGATGTCTGGAGGCATCCCTCTGGTAACTGCTAACAAACTTTCAATTTTACTTGCAGAGAGCCTAAAAGTTTACCCTCGGCATAATAACTCTGCAGCCAAGCTCCAGATGCAAAAGATGCAAGAAATGGAGCAGCTGGCAAGCTCTCAGGGTGTACCTACTGACCGGAACACCCTCAATAAGCTGATGGCTTTGCAGCCCTCTGCCGGAATAAATACTGCCATGAACGTCAACAACAACAATAATCACCACTTCGGTAATCGAGGAGCAGTAGGTTTAAGTGGTTCGGCCCAGGCTGCATTGGCCCTTTCCAACTACCAAAATCTTCTCACGAGGCAAAACTCCATGAATTCAAACTCCAGCTCGCTTCAACACGAACCTCCTTCATCTTCCTTCAACAATAATTCTGCCCCAAGTCCATCTTCCAACTTCCAAGGACCTGCTGGTTTCCCTCCCGGAGGACCCATGCAAAACTTACACCAACAACAACAGCAGCAACATCAGCGTTCATCGAGTTCCAATAATTTGTTTCAACAAAACCATCATCAACAAAGCTCTCAAGGCAGCAATCAGGCATTGGAACAGCAGATGATACAGCAACTGCTGCAGGAGATGTCAAATAACAGTAGCGGGGGAGGAGGAGCTCAGCTGCAGCGTTCTGTTTCTGCACAGAATGGGAATGGTGGTTCTGCAGGAAGGAACAGTGTGGGCCCTGCCATCTCTGGAGGTAGACCTGCAGCAAGTCGGAGCAACAGTTTCAAAGCTGCTGCTGCTTCACCCAGTGATTCGTCAGCTGGTGGTGGTGGCGGCAGTGGCAGTGGTTATAATAATAACAATCAAAAGGTTGGGGACATGCCTAATCAGAATTTGCAGCAGCTGCAGAATGACATGCAAGATATCGCTGCTGAGTTTTCAGATAGTGGGTTTTTTAACAGTGACCTTGGCGATACTATGGGCTATGACTGGAAAGCATAATAAACAACTTCTGGTTTTGGCTCTTAGCTTAGTTGTTTGGTTTTATTGAATGAGTTTTTTGGCCATCTCGTTTGTACAGAATTATACTCTCCCCTCCCAGAACCGTTTATTGCGAATCGTAAGGGAACAAAACTTATTGTGCTTAAATAGGTAATAGCTGCCATTATTCCTCTCCGTGTTTCTGGTCATGCAATTTGTAATGTACTATGATGATAACTAGTAAGCTAATATGATATACATTTTCATTATCAATGGTAATCGATGATAACGAATGCCCCCATAGTAACCGAAGCCATAGCATGGAGATGGCTTCAAGTTGTTCATGACCGATGATCGGCAATTAGTCGCTCTTATGACAATCTTCACACTCAGGAGCTAGCCTGGTGGGAGGCATCCCCTTGATCCCTTGATTCTCTCCCCAAAAGTCTGACAACAAAACTGCGCAAAAGAGAAGCTGCAATTCTTCTCCCTCGTAGGGATGCACTGGCCGATTCACTAGATTCTGTTTCGGGAGTGTACTCTAAGGAGCACTCTCCAGTGGAGTCAGTTAGCTCGACGTCAAATGGTTTCATGAGCTGCTGTCCAGCTGCTTGAACATGAGAGAGACTGCAACCACCGCTTGAAAAGTGCATGTGTCAGTGTAGTGAAGCCAATAGAATGAAGTTCTTCACAGGTTTATAGCCTGTGGAGAAACTGGAGTAGCCGTGCTGGGAAAAAGAGAAAAGAGAGCGTATAAAGGGGAACGAGAGAGCACCAGATGTAATGTAAACCATCTATCTCTTGTCTCTGAGCTCTGCCAAGTAGCTCAACTTGCAGAATCCCTCCTATGCAAAGTACCGGTTCTGGCAGCTTGAATTTTTGCAGTTGGCTTTCCTGCAGATGAGGCCAATAGATTGAGTATGCAAATTGGAAAAGAAAATTCTAAAGAACTAATTAGCAATATATCAAAAGCTAAGTATTCGTTGCATAACTATTCCGAACATTTCTATGACCTTTTCCTTTCCAGTTTCTTCTCCCACAGGACTACTCTAGATATGGATCAGAAGCTTACTCAACATAACAAGCAACTGGGGAGCTTTTAGTGCAAGGAATAAGGTAGCATAATATCAGGAAGAGATCGATTATTGACATAAACCTTTAACCGTAGCAGCTCAATAAATCAAAATTTGGCAATTAGGAGGAGCTTCGGAAAAGCCAATTATAGCTTAGAATTAACTACCTGAGCCATGGGAAATTCAGGGGAGGTGTAAGACCAGACAAAATGGTCATCTCTTGGTCTATGGCCATATGTAACAATCGCTATATCATCCTCCAACTCCATTGGGAACTTTGAATGACCGAGTCTAAACCGAACGCTTTTTGATGAGTATATAGGGAACCCATACTGGAAGTACGCTGATACACCGAACAATGAAGTCGTTATGCTTGTCGTTCCCATAATCCCATTCTCAGAACATGATAGAGTGAAGGCAAAATAAGCAATTACCTTGAAAAGGCTGAACATGGATTTCAGTGACTAGACATAACTTGGATGCCAACTTGTAAACTAATCTCTCAGGAACGTCTGGATTGGCTTGCCCTTTACTAGACCAGTAGGATGCTCGATCCTCAACTCTATCGCCTGCCTCCAAGGTATTCTGAATCGTCTCTTCTGGGTAATTATCTGTGCTGGATGCACAGATGGCCTCCGAGATGCAGTCTTTCGTCACAACTGGAGAAAGGCCACGTGCCAGAAACGCGTAGACTCTATGGTTCCTCTTGAGCCACTCCCAGCTCCTTCTACAGTCACTAGTCCGACCTACCGGTTCAATCAGATTATCCACTTCAATGAGATCAACGTTACTACACATTCCAGGAAACTTCCTCAAGCAGAGCTGTTTGCAGATGCCATGTTCAATCACTGCCAAACACAACCATAATACTCGTACTTCTCAAACTATTCAATTTCACGAAATCGAACAGATGCTTAAGCAAATGAAGAAGAGTTAAAGCATACCAAACCGGCGCCAAGAACTTGAAACGGCACAAAGACGAACGAGATCAGAAGGGTCATCCAAATGCATCAGAACCTGAATAAACATGTCAACTCCAAGCCATTGCATCAGGTCACCGCACTTTTCCCTTGTCTGGGCCATTGTATAAACACGGATCAAACAAACCGACTGCAGGCAAAGTCTAGCAATTGAAGAACCCCACCTGAATTTATCAAAACCGAATCCAATTATCTAAACCAGTAACCCATCAATAATCAACAGCCTAAACACTACAAAACCTGCTGCAATTTCTCAAGCAAACCCGAAAGTTCATATCTTTATACAATCCCCAGTTACCAACAACGGAAGAACATCAATCAAATCCAGCAGATTAAATTCAAGCACCTCAGCAACAACAACCCAAAAATCGTAATCGACAAAATCCAAACAGTGAAACTTCAATTCTCGAGCGTACCTTTCTCTGGGATTCGACGGCGGCGAGCGGTAGCGCGAAAAAGCTCCAACCTTTACGATCTAATAATCCCTCTCAGGATGAGGGGCGCATAATGGGGACACGAAATCGGAGAAGAGGGCAAAAGCTGAGCTGTGAATTTCGAGAGGGATCGAAACAGAGACAAAAAAAAAAAACGTCGACGCCACCACCGAATGGGACGGCTCAGCAGCCGGCGAGAGTGGATTTCTTGAACTGAGCTATAATGATAATAATGGAGCTAATAAAGGATAACAATGGATCAGATTTGACGTCTATTTAAAAAAAGAGCACTGTACCTAATCAAAATATTAATTTAAAAAATAAACTGGTGTTAACTAATCTACGGCTGTCGAGTGGGAATTGGTCCGGTGGTGGATAGAAAATTGCACGCATCCACCGATTTCAACGGGCGGGTTTTGTCGCTTTCTTCTCGTCGGGTCTATCCATGCCACTGCCATCGCCATTGCCATCGCCACGCACCGTTGTGTTATCGTTTGGTGGATCATACAAATATCGGCAGAAACTAGGTGTTTGTTCTTTTTTATGAATAGTAATTATGGTGATTGTTATAATTGTGCAAACTGCAATGTCTGCTTGTCTTTTTTCCTTTTCAGTTTAGAACCCAAAGAGGCAAAAGAACGACACTTATTTGCAAGTTATACGTTGATGTCATGCACCAGTGGTCAGTAGGTCATGGCTAATTAGATCAGGGTGATGAAACTCAAAGAATCTCTACTGACAATTATTCAATGAAGAAAGTACTTTTTGTTTTTGTTTTCGGTAGAAAACGATGAGATAGGGGTCGTTTTTGAAACATGGAATAACGAGGTGTTGTTATTTTAATGTGATTGAATTGCAATCAGTAAGTTGAAAAGAATCGTTTTGAGCATTAAGTGTCCTCGTAGTGTTAGTAAGTATCAACGGGTGTCAACTAGTAAAAAATATAATTTAACTCATGAGAAAAAAAACACGAGAAATTTGTCGAGTTTAGCAAGCCTAGTGCAGGTAGAATAATTTTTCTGAAGTTTATTGATGAAACTGTAAGAACGGTAGAGAATTGGGGGAAATTGAGAGAAGAATTTCGAATTAGGGATTGGAAATTGAGAAGAATCGGGAAAGAACAAGAGAGGAATTGAGAGAAGGAAGATTGAAAAGATAAGAGATTTTAATTCTATTTTTTCATAATACCAAAAAAGAAAAAAAAAATAATTCTCACACTTTAAATAGGATTGTCCACAAATAACAAACTAACAATTAATAATAAAATACCCAAATACACAAATAGGGTTGAGCCCTTACCCAACTCGTCCGTCGGGTTCCTGACATTCCCCTCCTCTGAAAGACCGACCATGTCCTCAAGGTTGAAAGCAAGATGTGTCTGTTGAATGGTCTTTGTGTTAGAGTAAGGCCATGAAAACTCCCACGTGTTATATTTTGGTCCCATGTGCTGCCAATAGATACGGCTCTCCTCCGTCCTCTAATTCCCATTGAGAACACATATCGTCTGCAAGACCTCCATCGGCTCGAGCTCAAGTGCACCATCCTCATTGACGGGCGACACTGGAGTATGATCTTGGATAGTGGCTCCTCTGTACTTGCGCAATTAGGACACATGGAATGTCGGATAGGGATGGCAATTTTGCTCATACCCATGGGTATTTTACTATCCAACCCAATTGGGTTGGGGTATGAAATCCAAATATATGGATATGGGTAAAGTTTGATGGGTTTGTACCCATACCCATTTACTTTGGGTTGGGTTGGGTTTATAACAAATGGATTTGGGTTTGTTCCCATGCCCAAATACAAATTACAATTTGGTACCTAAACTTAATAGATATGCATATTAGTACCTAATTTTAATTTTTTTTTGCATATAAGTCCTCAAAATATCGATGGAAAATTACGTTTTGGTACCTAAATTTTTTTGGTCTTACATTTTGGTACCTAAACTTTTCAAGTTTTACAAATAGGTCCAATTTTTGCATGTGTAGTTAAAACACCCTCAAGTAAATGGATATCCATATCCAACCCATACCCATTTAGATAATATCCATATCTAACCCAAACCCATATACAAACCCCAAACCCATACACACATCACCCAAACCCTACCCATAATAAATGGGTCTACTTGGGCTTGGGCAAAATTACCCATAGGTGGGTAAATTGCCATCCCTAATGTCGGATGCATGCGTGACGACGCTGACAATTGCAAGCGATACGCCACCGCCCCAACTTGGGCCTCCACTTGGTAAGGGCCAAAGTAGCGAGTTGCTAACTTCTTTTATGTGCACTTGAACATAGAAGTCTGCCTGCATGGGTGGAGACCTAATAGAACCCAATCCCAGTCCCCAACCTCAAACTCCTCTTCCCAACGACCCAAATCCGGCCTGCTTCATTCGATTGTTGGGTGCTGCCAAGTTCGCCTTAACTGGTCCAATGTCACATCCCTCTCAGCAAGCCACTTGTCCACTACATCATCCGCACGGGTACTGGTTGATATCGAATCAACGATGGGGGTGTCCGCCCATAGAGTGCCTCAAAGGGAGTCATCTGTATCACTCGATGATAATTGGCGTTATACCACAGCTCCACCCAGGGCAACATCGCCAACCAACTGTGAGGTTGCTGATTTGCAAAACACTGCAGGTAGTGATTCAGATACTTATTAACCTCCCCAGTTTGTTCGTCGCTTTGCGGGTGATATATTGAACTCATCCGCAATTCAGTGCTGGCCAACACAAAGACCTTCTGGCAAAACGGCCCCAGGATCAAGGCATCCCTGTCGCCGAAGATCGACCGCAGAAACCCATGATGCCGCAACACCCCTGAAAAAAACTGTTCTGCCACAGTCTTGGTCGTGTACTGGTAAACTAATGCCATGCAATGAGCATATTAGGTGAGTCGATCCAAATTGTCATCACTAGGACCATATGATGCCATATAACAAACTCTTGATCTCCTGCAGGGTGCGCTCGTGGCTTGAATACCCTCCTATCAGTGAATCATGGAACTCCCTGATCACCGAGGTCGTCAAGGTTGTTTCTGCTAGTAACACAACACACCCACAAAAAAAAAAACCCATAGCAAAAACTCAAGCTCACCCGGTATTATGTTGAGGGCTATGTCCTTGCACTTCTGCAGATATGGGTTGGACTCCATTACCCGCCTATCTTTATCCTAGAAACGTACTACACGACAGGATACTACAACCATAATTGACATGATCTCAATCTGAGACAAGGGGTTTGCGATATTGTTAATGGGACCCGATTTGTAGTGGAGCGCATAGTCATAGCCCAACAACTTCACCACCCAATTTTACTAATCTAGAGTAGATATCTTTTGGTTGAGGAGATGACGTAGGCTTTACTGATCAATAAAAATATAGAACTTTTGTCCCAACATGTATGATCTCCAAGTTTGTACTACAGTGGAGATGTCGAGCATCTCCTTTGGTACGTCGACTAGGCCTCCTTTGTTGGAGCCAGGTTCTTGCTCATGAATGCTATCAGGTGCCCATTATGAGACAAGACTGCCCCAATACTATGCTCAGATGCATATGCCTCAATGTCAAAGGGCCTTGAAAAATCCGGAAGGGCCAAAGTGAGTGTCGTGGTCATGACCAATGCTGTCAAAAGCGCGATTCTACCTAGAAGCGGAAAATGGGAAAAATCGTAAAGCGTATAATTAAAGCGTAAAAACGTAAGTTCTTGACGCATGCTGTAAATTAACTAAAAATCTATTAAGTACGACATATACTATATAAAATATGAGTGCACATAAGTTAGATAACTTAATAAATACCTGCAATTCATGCCTAAAAGTAGAACAACTTATAGTCTCTTAATAATAAGTTCATAAACATAAATCTTAACAATAAGCCACCGTCCCCTCTATGCTAATGAATTTGGGAAGAGCCTGTCTGGTGAATTAGATTACTCTATTGAAGCTAAGAATGCATCCAAGTACCTGATATGTACCTTTAATATCAAATGTATCATATTATTGGTAATTTACCTTTAATTTCATGAAAAGAATACTTATTTGGTGAACTAAAAGCCTAAAAACGTAAAGCATTTTGGTGAACTAGAAGCGTAAAAATGCAATTTAGTCCGATTTTTGCACTAAAGTTTTTATATGGAAACGAAAGTGTTTTGCTAATCTAAATGCGTAAACTCGTAAGTTTTTAAGTTTTAAAGCGCGATTTTTTGACTGCATTGGTCATGACGACCTTCACCATGCCGAATGCCTACTCTGCCTTAGGGTTCCAGCCGAACCCTTCTTTCTTCAATAGGTTAGTCAATGGGCCAGCTATGGAACTATAGTGCTTCACAAACTTTTGGTAGTAACCTGCAATTCCAGAAATTCCCTCAGCTTCGTCATAGTGTTCGGTATCGGCTAATCGATTATCGCCTGTACCTTCGTGGATCAACTCATACCCACTATGATAAGATGATATGTCCTAGATAATCCACTTCATGTACTCCAAAAGCACATTTTGATGCTTCGGCAAAGACCTGGTTCTTCTTCAAGATCTCGAACACCTATTGCAGGTGTTCTTCTCACGATGGAGTATAAATCAGGATATCACAAGAAAATACGAGCACAACCTACGTAGAAATGGCCAAAAGATTCTATTCTTGGCTACCCAAAATGTCGATGGTATATTGTAGAGTCCAAACGGTATCACAAAGTACTCATAATGCCCACTATGTGTGAGAAATATCGTCTTGTGAATGTCCTATTCATGCATCCGGATCTAACGATATCATGTTCTCAAATCCAGTTTGGTGAAGGAGCAAGCTCTCCTGAGCTCATCCAACATATCCTCAACTGTCAGAATCTCAAACTTGTGGCCTCATTCAGGGCCTTATAGTCTGTGCAGAATTGCCAGGTGCCATATTTTTTTATTAACTAACAATACTGGTGAAGAGAAAGGACTGAAACTATGTCTGATCAATCATGTGGTCTACATCTCTGTATATGTCACTCTACTTAGGCCTTCTGCGAGTGAGCTTATTTGTACAGGCGTACATTGACCGTATCTGTCCCCTCCTTTAATCAAATCCGATGATCCACTAGGCTAGCTGGGGTAGTTGTTAGGGTTTCTCAAACAGGACCGTGTAGCTGTCGAGCAAGAGCTGTAACTCGGGCGCTATTATCGACCCCTTCATGTTGCTATAAGCTAGTAGGTCACTGCAATCTAGACTCCTTCTGTTAGCT